ATTTTTTTGGGTGAACTATTTCTTTCAGTCGTCATGGCTGTAGTCGCTTTATCTCCGACGCTGACAGACTGTTCTATTCTGATCAGTCAGATTAAGCTTGGATTGGGGTTTTACGCTCCACAAACAGCCCGCAGGACACAAATAGCATGCTATGTTTTCAAATACTCAGCCAACTCACCCCTCACATCGTGTGAGGATGAACGTAAGGAACATACTGTTGTTAATAGAACAACAGAACAAAAGGAATAGTTCACTCAAAAATTAAAATCTTAATATGTACTCACCCTCAGGCCATCCAAGATTAGGATGAGTTTGTTTCTTCATCAGATTTAGAGATATTCAGCATTATATCACTTGCTCTCACCAGTGGATGCTCTGCAGTGAATGGGTGCCGTCAGAATGAGAGTCCAAACAGCTGATAAAAACATCACAATAATCCACAGCACTCCAGTCCATCAGTTAATGCCTTATGAATTGAAAAACTGCATGTTTGTAAGAAACAAATTAATCATTAATCAGATCAAGCACTGTTTGTTGGTGAAGCTCTGTTTGACATAACGCTGTGTCAAGACATAATGACTGAAATATGTTCTGATTGTATAATATTTTTCTATGCTTGCTATTAATATAAATATTTTAATTACATAATCTATTGTTTAAGTAAAAAAAAAAAAAGCATGGAATAATTGAATGTGAATGGAACATACATTTACACAGTTATTTATTTAGCAGATACTTTTATACAATGTGACTTCAAATGAGGTTAAACAGTAAAATGTCTAAAGATAGAGATTTAAATAAAGAAAACAATCCTCGAGAATGAAAACATCTCTAACAGTGGACACATCAAATGAAAACCAAGAATCTTTTTTGATTTTCTAACAAAAACTATTTTTATTCGTGAAATATTAACCCACAATCCCACCCATCATGCCAGCGCAAACTGCATCCAAAATCCCAGCGCTTCTGCGGTAAAGCCTGTAGTCCCCGAAAAAATGTTCTGTTCACCTTGGAATGTTGTCCTGTACATGTCATTTCCACAACCTGACAAACACAAATACAACAGATATAATAAATGTATTTCATGTCCAGTCTGGAAAACTCAGGGACTGTAAATACTGTAATTTCAAGGTTAATATATAAACCGATCAAGCTACAGGCCAGCGATGTTATAGTTAACTGAAACCATAAAAAACTTGAAATATGTTACTTGGTATACTTGGAATAAAATAAACTTTAACTGAAACAAAATAATACAAAAAACCTTGAACGTATTTTATTCCAAAGCAACATTTCTCATTTTCACTTTGGATTTTAAACTAATGTACTAAACTAAAACTGAAATACAAATGAATAAAATTGACATTTCAATGAAAAAAATACATAAATAAAATAATGACAAAACACAACAAAACTAGTGAAACTAAAATGAAAAAAAAAAATTCAAATTATTAATAAAAACTAATGTATGGAAGCTTGTTTCCACCACAAAAAATAAATAAATATATATAAAAGGTAATTGCAACTTTTTTTCTTCTTGTAGTTTTGAGTTTTTGTCTTATATTGAAATAACTAAACACCATTAAAAAAACTTGTTACTTGGAGGAAAAAATATATATATATATATAAAAAACGTATTTTATTCCAAGGCAACATTTCTCATTTTCATTATGTTTAACTTCATGTACTAAAATAACAAACAAAAACTGAAATAAAAATTAATAAAAACTATATAGACATGCTTAAAAATAACAACTTTAACTAAAATTAAAAAATTATTCAAAAGATTAATAAAAACGAATATATGGAAGCCTAAAATAAGTTAATTGCGACTTTTTTCTTGTAGTTTTGAGTGTTTTTCTTAGAATTCTGTTTAAATCTCGCAATTCATTTTGTTTGTTTGTTTGTTTTTTTGTCTGCCACGAAAAAAAAAATACAAAAGGGTAATTACGACACCTTTATCTGACTTCTTTCCTCCCAACTGCAAATGTATCTCACACAATTCTGACTTCTCGTGAGATATGAACTTAGAATTGCACGAAGAAAGAGTCTGAACGGTAAGATAAAGAGGTCGCAATTACCTTTTGTATTTTTTTTATCCCATAAATAAAAAAAGAACATGTTTTTATAGCACTGCTAAAGAGTGTAAAGCCACTCACTTTCAGACATAAATGCCGACCCACAGTAAGAGGAACAGAACGCCGAAGCCCATGAAGAGCGAAGCCACCAGAGAAATCAGCAGCTCTTTGTACAGATCTCGGGTGTACTTCGTGGACGTTACTTCATATCTGCGACAGAGTCAAGGATGCACATACACAAACACCTTTTTAGGCTAAAGTTTGCAATCATGTTTCTGACTGCAAAATGCAGTTGTGTGGACAGTGAAGGATACACGAAGAACCAGGCGGTGAAGAACATGCCGATGGCCAGCAGCACTACAGTGAGGTGAGGAAACACAGCAGGGTTCACCGGACTGGTGTATCTGGTCATGGCTTCCAACTCCTGCACAGAAAATCAATCATGTACAGGTTAGTGGACACGACCTCTGAAACCAGACACCTGAAGATGTCCAACAGCATGCTGAAAAACCAGATAACAGCTAGAAAACAGCATTATTCATGACATCAAGAGGCTGGAGAGAACAGGTGCATGAAAGTGCTGAACTGATATGGATTTTCCATTACTGACATCCAAAGAGACATCACTTATGAACACAGAAATGTGGATTATATCAAATACATGAATGTGAAAACTGAGACACTCATTAAATGAATGGTGCAACCTAGATTTAAACACTTCTCTCTGCATAACATCTGTTACATGTTCACATGAAGCTTATACACATACATATTTACATCTCAAAATATGCATATTTATAGTGCAAAAAAGGCTTCAGCTGACAGCTAAAGCTACCAAACTGCTGCAATTGAACAAGACCAGAGCGATTAAAGAAAATACTAGACGCGTTATTTACAGATTCGAGTCATTTCTGGACTCTCTGGCGTTTAGGAAATATCATAATTCGCTGTAAAATCATGCATAATTTACCATTGTGTGACAGAATTTGTCCGACCGGAAAAAGAGCAAGAACAGCCACGTAAGTGAAGAGGAGCGAGAAAACAGCACAATACAAAATAAAAGTCCCAACGCTCCATAGGATAGATAGAGCTGCTTCTTCTTGTTATGGCGGATTGCAACCATGACTTATCAGGTGCATACCGCCACATACTGTATCGGAGTATGCAGCATGAATTATCTCAATGAATGCACTATAATAAATATTATAGCACTACTATCTAAATCCTAACATACCCCTGTATCCTTCAGATATTCCACAACAGCATCCTGTGCAGCTTTAACCCCTTCTCCTGTTGTTCCCAAACGATGTATTTGTCTTTTCATTATGGCTCTCACACAAAGACGGATTTAAATTTAGTATCCAGAATTAGTTTTTTATTTATGCATCATGCTTGCATGCATTTGTATTACGACATCAGTACACATACATGTCAAAAAAGTCAGACAAATTATGCAGATGAATTAAAAATAACGATTATGTATCAATATACAACAGAGGCTTTCCGAAAGCTCAGATAAAACAATGGAAATGAGAAACTAACATAAACACAATAGTGAATCAACCGTTTTTAATATTTTAGTTCTCGCGGGGCTTAAAGCCGTAAAGATAAACATAAGACAGACTTTTTATTTTTGTAATTTTATACCACAGTAATTGATAAACAGGGAATGTTTCACCCCACTTAAAACAAGTTATTTAAAATGTAAAATCAAATATTTTATGATTAGCAGAGAACAAACAAATGTAGTAAAATTATGCTATAAAACTAATGAGGAGTAAAAAGAACAGAAATAAAGGATACTGTTGCACATAATGAAATATATGAGTTATAACAAATAATAAAAACCTAACTGAATTCTCACAAGAACATTTAAAAGACGTTTCATATATTACACAGTTTTAGATGTCACAGAAAACATTAGAAAAACAATATTTACAGTGCATAGTTTGGAAGTGCTTCCACAAGAGGCTGGTTTATTCATGACAGAATATGTGATATTCCCAATGATTTTTAAAAAATAACCATATATTAGATTTCAAAAGATCATCCCAAATGTTTTATACTCAGAATCAGTATCATGCATTAGTATGGCATTATGGAAATTGTAATTTTAGTGCACAACATTTTCAGTCAACACTTTCCTGGTTCATGATTTGACCATGACGAACAATCACATATTACCCAGCCTTACAAAGACTAGATTATGGCTTTCCGTATTGCTTTAAAATATTCAAACAATATCTAGAACATCAAAATGTTATGTGTACTAGGATAGGAAACAAACAAAGACAAAAGTACTCTAAATATAGTGTTGAAATTTACATTGTGCTGGATTACATGAAAGACACAATAAATCTGGTCATTTTTCTTCTTGACAAACAAAATTTTAAAAAAAAGAGGGGTGGGAGATTTTAAAGATAATGAAATTAGAATGAATCTACTGAGTTTTGTTTAGTAACACTGAAAGTTTAGGACATTGTCAGACAAATTCTCTGAGAAACCACCGAGATCCGCTCTGATTTTGAACACGATCATTGGTTATGGCTTAAAGTATAGTATGCAGAGCAGCATACTAAAGTCAGAACAATGCAGTAAAAATGAAAGAACATACATTGTAAAAGAAGGAAAAGGAAAGAATAAAGTAAAGAAAGTACCGTAGTAAAAACTCAATTTGAAGGGTTTCCTGACAGGTGTTTAAAATCCAGTTTAATTAGGGTGACCATACGTGCCATTTTCCCAGGACGCGTCCTGGCCAGGATTTGTTTTGGCTTTGTTTTCATGCTTGCTGAAGGTAATAATCGAAAAGTAGTTTGACCAATAACATGCAAGCATTGTACATAATGGACCAATCATGGCATGTGAGAGGGTGGGATCTATGGCCAAAGCGATGCAATTACGCGTACATATTAGGTGTGTTTGACTTAAAAGAAGTCGAACACACCAATAGATCAGTGTTTGACATCAAAGTACCTCGAGAGCACTTCGAAAGCATAACCGTCTGTATGGTATTTTGATGTCATACACCGATTGGTCTGCACACGCAAACAAAGCCAAAACCTAGATATTTTAGCCAATATAGAAATCCTGGCCAGGACGCGTCCTGGGAAAATGGCACATATGGTCACCCTAGTTTAATGATCCAGTGTTTTTGCCACAGTGTTTGACCCGCAATTGCTGTTGGTTCCAGTGAGAAGTCTATCCAGTTTTAAAGAGAAATCCAGTGACTCTAATTTAGACAAATCCAGTAGTTGCTTTTATGGCTCCTACTTCACTTTCTACACTGCTTTCTTTATATCTGTATCTATACTGTTTCTCTCCAGTGAATGCGACAGCAGAAATGAGGCTGTTAAACGTAAAGACTCTGCCTGTTTATTATTGCTAAAATCCTTCATAAGTGTTCGACAGCAGTTATGAGAAGTTTAACAAAAAAATAAGGTAAATAACCCTATTTGTGTATCATTAATAATGAGCCAGTGCAGTTAAAGCCGTTTCCAGTGTATAAATAGTCGGAGACCAAACAGCTATAATCCACCAAGTAATCCACACCACTCCAGTTCATCAGTTAACATCTTGTGAAGTGAAACGCTGCGTGTTTGTAAGAAAAAAATACATCATTAAGACGTTTTAACTTTAAACCATTGCTTCTGGCCAAAATATGAGTCCAAAATCCATAATAACGATTCATCTAGTGATAAAGTCCATCCCCTGTTGTTGTCTTACATCAAAATCCACAGAGATATTTGTTAAGAACTGTTTTCGAATGTAAACCGTGCTTGATCGGTGCATATTTCTCTCCTGATTCAGGCGAGACGACTTCACTGAAGAAAGCATTATTTTGAATTATGGACTCATATTTTAGCTGGAAGCTACGGTTTGACATTAAAAAGATGGATTTGTTACAGTAATTGATGGACTGTAGTGGTGTGGATTACTTCTGATGTTTTTATCAGCTGTTTGGACTCTCATTCTGACGGCACTCATTCACTGCAGAGGAGCTATTGGTGAGCAAGTGATGTAATGCTACATTTCTCCAAATCTGTTCTGATGAAGAAACAAACTCATCTATATTTTGGATGGCCTGAGGGTGAGCAAATTTAAATTTTTGGGTGAACTATTGCTTTAAAGTTCATAAAGCTGTTGACATGTAATGGCATTTAAAGAGCAGGTCATATAGTATTTTAAAGTTTCCTGATATTGTGCTGGAGTCCTCTACAACAGGTTTAAATGCATCTAAGGTCAGAAAACACTGTAATTTTCATAGAATATACATTTAATATTAGAGTCATTTGCCAATGATTTCAAAATGATTCGTTCCAAGCAAGTTCGGAGCAAACCCCTCCCTTCCATAAGTCTACTCTGCTCTGATTGGTCAGCTGGCCAAGCCTGTTGTGATTGGCTCAGAGAGGAGTCCTTGAGCAAGTTAGCGAGCGCTACCATTGACAAATCACCTTTTCATAAAACAATATAGTGCTCCAATCCGTTCTTATAATAATGACATAAAATACAAAAACACTTATGCAAGCGAATTGTGCCCACAGCTAAAGACAATATTTACAGTGCATAGTTTGGAAGTGCTTCCACAAGAGGCTGGTTTATTCATGACAGAATATGTGATATTCCCAATGATTTTTAAAAAATAACCATATATTAGATTTCAAAAGATCATCCCAAATGTTTTATACTCAGAATCAGTATCATGCATTAGTATGGCATTATGGAAATTGTAATTTTAGTGCACAACATTTTCAGTCAACACTTTCCTGGTTCATGATTTGACCATGACGAACAATCACATATTACCCAGCCTTACAAAGACTAGATTATGGCTTTCCGTATTGCTTTAAAATATTCAAACAATATCTAGAACATCAAAATGTTATGTGTACTAGGATAGGAAACAAACAAAGACAAAAGTACTCTAAATATAGTGTTGAAATTTACATTGTGCTGGATTACATGAAAGACACAATAAATCTGGTCATTTTTCTTCTTGACAAACAAAATTTAAAAAAAAAGAGGGGTGGGAGATTTTAAAGATAATGAAATTAGAATGAATCTACTGAGTTTTGTTTAGTAACACTGAAAGTTTAGGACATTGTCAGACAAATTCTCTGAGAAACCACCGAGATCCGCTCTGATTTTGAACACGATCATTGGTTATGGCTTAAAGTATAGTATGCAGAGCAGCATACTAAAGTCAGAACAATGCAGTAAAAATGAAAGAACATACATTGTAAAAGAAGGAAAAGGAAAGAATAAAGTAAAGAAAGTACCGTAGTAAAAACTCAATTTGAAGGGTTTCCTGACAGGTGTTTAAAATCCAGTTTAATTAGGGTGACCATACGTGCCATTTTCCCAGGACGCGTCCTGGCCAGGATTTGTTTTGGCTTTGTTTTCATGCTTGCTGAAGGTAATAATCGAAAAGTAGTTTGACCAATAACATGCAAGCATTGTACATAATGGACCAATCATGGCATGTGAGAGGGTGGGATCTATGGCCAAAGCGATGCAATTACGCGTACATATTAGGTGTGTTTGACTTAAAAGAAGTCGAACACACCAATAGATCAGTGTTTGACATCAAAGTACCTCGAGAGCACTTCGAAAGCATAACCGTCTGTATGGTATTTTGATGTCATACACCGATTGGTCTGCACACGCAAACAAAGCCAAAACCTAGATATTTTAGCCAATATAGAAATCCTTGCCAGGACGCGTCCTGGGAAAATGGCACATATGGTCACCCTAGTTTAATGATCCAGTGTTTTTGCCACAGTGTTTGACCCGCAATTGCTGTTGGTTCCAGTGAGAAGTCTATCCAGTTTTAAAGAGAAATCCAGTGACTCTAATTTAGACAAATCCAGTAGTTGCTTTTATGGCTCCTACTTCACTTTCTACACTGCTTTCTTTATATCTGTATCTATACTGTTTCTCTCCAGTGAATGCGACAGCAGAAATGAGGCTGTTAAACGTAAAGACTCTGCCTGTTTATTATTGCTAAAATCCTTCATAAGTGTTCGACAGCAGTTATGAGAAGTTTAACAAAAAAATAAGGTAAATAACCCT